AATATTAGGTACCTAAGTATTTGATGTTTGATATACTAATAAATATATCATAACCAAACTCATTTTTTATTTATAAAATCTATTTCAAATGTCTAAATGAGAGAATATTTTCTTTTTTTTCCAAAAAAGCAAATGAGGCAAATAGATATTTTAACAAATTATGTACTGATAAGTAACATACTAAAACTCATTATAATAATGACTATTTGGGAACAAGATCCCATATGTTAAAGCTAATATAATAGCTGCTGTTTACTGAGTGCTTACTATAGTGGCAGACAACGTGCTAAATAAGTATTAACAAATATTATCTCATTTAATTCTAATAAAACTTAAGAGGTTAATACTATTTTTTCCATTTCACAGATGGGGAAACTAAGATTTAGAGAGCTTAATTAACCTGCCCAAAGAAATACATCTCATCCATGGCAAAGCTAAGATTTGAACACACACACACACACACACACACATACAGTGAGGTACATAAGGTCACATGGTCTGACTCATATGGTAACAGTTCTGAGTAGAGAAGGCTATTTGTAAAAATAATTTTACTGACTTTTCTCATTCCTAACACTAGATTACTCAGGGACCCACTTCTTGCTCAAATTGAGCTGACCCAACCTATACCGCATCCCCTTAGACTCCACCTTTTTAAGGTGGTAAGTAGACAATACAGTCTAAGATAATGGATAAGCAGTACGGTACAGTGGGAAAAAAACTGAGGCTAGAATCAGGAGACCTTAGCTCTAGTGTTGGTTCCAATATTTAATAGTAAAGGTGTTCTAGGCAAGTCATTTAACTTTTCTTTCTGATTAGCCACTCGGCCTAACTAACAGAACAAGACCTAATAAAATCCATTCTGCCTTCTGCAAAGGGTAGATGGTTGGGATGATCAAATGAGATGTGACATGAGATACTGTTAACCTATAAAACACAAATAGTGTTCATCTAAGAGCATCAGAAGAGGCTATCTTCCGAATCAAGTCATTATTTCCCCCCAAGACATACTAGTATGTTAACAAATAACCATCTGCGGATAAGAAATGATGGGAAATTCAGGACAGATAGAAAGAAAGGTTGGTATACTATTGGAAACATATTTTTGAGCCTAGCAGAACCTTGCAGCATTAATCAAAAGACAAGCTTAATCAAAAAATATTCACTTAACACAGATTTATGCATTAAATACCAAGCCCTAACAGTTTTCTGCTGCATGATGCTAGCAATTCTTCCTAAACTTTATAATTAACACACTAAAATCTTGTAAGAGAAAAGATAATTTGATTAATACCTTATTCCAGCCGCTGGCATGAACTGTGGTCTCCAATGTACATTCCCGAAATGCCTGATATGTCACTGGCCTGTAGAGATTTTTTAAAAGTCTGTGTCATAAAGAAGGAAAATTCTAAATTTCCAGATTAAAAAATATATAATCACTACTTTGTTGAATTTTCTGCTAAAGTGACAATGATTATTCAACATATTACCTTGTTTAAGATGTGGTTTTTAACATTTGGTATGTATTTTTTTAAAGCATTTTATATGCTAAGATGCATGCTTGCGAAAGTAGTTAAAATATATTACAAGATAAATA